TGTAACAAGCAACTGATTGAGCATGATCCAAAATGGAACACAACACCCTAGCCCTCTTAGTCCTAGATAGATTGTCCTAGCGGGTCCTGGCTACAAAGTGCTTGGTTCTTCTGGCAAAAAGGCTTGTGCTGCTAACTGTTGCTGTCTAGCTCTTGTGGACTTGAGAGGCTTGCCAAGGCATCTCGCTTCCAGCCAATCCTGGGAAAAAGAACAACCGCAAGACTGACACAACCATACATTACTTAGGCTACTGGTGGTTCCAAAAGATGCTGAAAAATAAACATAGACTGATTGACACAATCTGCTGGGAAGCTTGCACACATGGCAAGCTTCCGTAACGCTTCCATCATCGTCACACCAGAACCCCCTCTTCCCTGCTCGCAAAGTAGTCATGATCCAGTCATTTCAGCCGGGCCAGCCGTCCTGAACTTTTGAAGATTCATGTCCTTGGGAAGCAAACGTGCCAGCCATGGCAAATTGGCTCTCGAGCTCCAACAATTGGCTCTTTAGCTCCAACGTGGACACTGGACACAAGAGCTCTGGTTGGTCTGGTTTGGATAGACAGGATGATCCAACTTCCCTCAGAACTCCCATCGCTGTGCCGCCTTAGAATTGGCATCCTGATTTTGGGTCTCCCAGCCATCTTGTCCACTTCTCTTGGCGCCTTCAAGTAGCTGTTCTCTAAGGGCTCGAGAGGTGGTGGAGGTGCCTCACGCGCGCGATGAAGTCAGTCCGGACCAAATATTCAGCATCCAGAAACAGCAATTTCCTGGAGCAAATCTGGTATCATTGTTCTCAAGCATTTCATTGACCATTCTGAAGCTGGATTGAGGAACTTCCACACTCTGAGCTCGACCGGTCGGTCCTCTTGTTTATTGCACAACCCCCCCGAGAAACTCAAACTCTCTTTGGATATGATCGATGCCAGCACACTCATTGTTCTCGATCTGCCAAACGGTCAAACACAATTCAACACTGCTCTGTCTCACCCAACAGCCACAAGGACCAATAGTCACGTCAGTCACCAACCATGGCCAGCAACCCAGTGCCCTCATGTGCCCTCCGTCTCTTCCCCCGCCTCGATCTTCCGGACGTAGCGATATCTAAGGAGCTTGGCATGGAGCGCCTGGCCCTCCTCCTCATCATCGTCCTTCCTCACCTAGCGAGAGCGATCTGGCAGATCTGGGTGGCAGCTCCGTATCAGACCCTCAAAGCATCTAGATCACACACAGAAGCTGTGGAGTCATGATTCTGTCCCTCACCATTGGTTGGGGCGGCTCCTGATCAAAGTGACGTTGGATGTTCAATATACAAATCATGGACACAAACGCCATGACAAGAAATGTGGTCGCATCACATGACACTGCACACATCAGCTTCGGCTCTCGACATCTTGATTTGCACTGTGCCTGGTGATAGTTGCTGTGCGTTTGCAAATTATTCCTAATATCCAACTACCACAGCTTCAACCTCGTAGCTTGCCTGCATGTAGCCCAACAAACTCTGCGATTTCCACCCTTCCCCTAGGCTTATTCGCTCTTGCTCTTTTTTCAAGTATATAAATATGCCCTAGGCTTCCAACAATTGTTTTAATGGTTTTCACCAAAGAACATCAAAGAACCATTGTTTTGCTAAGCATTTTAGACTACAATGCCAGATCACCGTTCTTTTTCATGGTCTTGGAAGAGTATGTTAATGTTTACAGTTTACAGTACTCCCGCGAAAACTATCATGGAACACGACATCGAGTCTCAGTGCTCACTAACATGGCCTCCCTGCTCGTTTGGTTTCCTGGGGGGTATGGAAACCAACCGTCTCAGGGGAAGAGGTGGTTGGGGAGACTAACATAGACCACCACAACATAGGCCAAAATGCTACAGGCAGTGCACTAACATAGAACATGTGCTGTCGCCCAATAACCCTTCCAAACAGGTCCATGTTAGTCTCACACCTTGTTTCATTTACCTGGGAAACTTTCCCAGTTTGCCCACTAACATGGCCCGCTCCCAGGAGCTTTTTCATACATAGGACACCTCACGCTAACATACCACACAGAAAATTTTTTAGTTTTATTTTTGATGATGTTAAATTTTGCGGGTGTAATGCCTATTTTTTTCCAACATCACCCCTGCGCCGATCCGGCCTCAGCGGACTTCACCATCCCGGTCCCCAAATGCTCCGTGTCCACCCCGGCGATGAGGTTCCGTAGCTCCAACTGGGCACGAACGGAAAAGCAACGGAGCCGAACGGGAAACGAAGCAAGTGGAGCCGTGGCTTCTCCGTTTGAGTCGCCACCGGAAGAAGAATCCTGAAGAACTGGGGAATGATGTACCACTATAGTATGTACTTGTGGTGTTTACATTCCTGACGAATGGCTGTCCATCTCCCCAGCACTCAATTGCTGAAATGTCGTCACAAAGATCCATCCGGATCCATCAAATGTCGTCACAAGCAGCTAACGTGGGGAGCTTTTGTACAGTCTTCAAATGTCTTTAATCAATAGGTGTGTGATGGTGTGTGTATTAAGCTGGTTCCCAGCCATCCAACTTCTGTAGACAGAACACTGCCACACTCTCGATCTCCGCGGTGAGGGCTTTGGAATCCACCAGGGGTGCCTGCAATTGCAAGAAGGCACAGCCTCCTAGCCTGCTAGTCGCCGATCTGTAGTGGAGTAGATGGTGCACTACCCCATATGCCGGCTTGATTCAAAACTCTTGCAACTCAAGGCTTAGAGTCTGTGGCCTCAACTTTGCAGCCAAGGGCTGCCTTTTCAGTTGAAGGTCTATGGGTTCAATGGTATCGAGGACCATCTTGCAGTGGCACAAGAACCAAGGGAGACGAGGATGACGAGGACAACAAAAAGTCCAACTAGTAGGTGAATCAACTGTGTCAGGAGACATTCCACCTGCTGGAAGGATTGGAAGAGAAGCCTTCGTGGAGGCCCTGAAGCTTCAGAAGACTCCCTGGTCAAAGTATGTACAAAGTTCACCGCTTACAGTTCTCGCGTTCAACATGCAATCAAAAACATATCTTTACTTTCCCTTGCCCTCTGCAACCCGAGCTTGTACCCAAATCCTTGGCAACCCACTATACAAACCTTCCCAAGCAAGCACAAGTACACGGGCTGTGTCAAAATGTCCGGCCTTTGTGCCTGGAAGCTCCGACACACGCCTGATGCAAGAATGTGGACTGGCGACGAAGCCTACAAATATTATGTCCCTTGGCTCGACTCTTGATTGCTGTTCGACGAATTCCTTGCAGTTTCAAGTTCCATGAAGGCCAATTGACCACTGTATGTAGCGATTATTCTTATGACTTGGATGGACGGACTGTCTTGAAGCAACATACTCTGGGCTACAGGATGCAGCTGCAGGATAATTTGATAGTGTTTGATAGGGTTCCCCAAGTCTGATTCACTTGAGCTTCCACTTTCGACCATACCAGCTCTATGAATCAGTTTGGCCTACTAAATGGAAATGATGATTGAAAAGTCAGAGATGCGTGCGTTTTATTTGTCAAGGACAGAAATCAATCACAAGCAAACTAGATGTTGCTAAGCTCCTCGATGAGCCCTCATGTTGTGACGCGGCCTGTCACCATGTTTTGCTCGTGGACTCCCATCACCCAGGCTGAAGGACTGAATCGCCTGTTGCTCGGGTCACAGGAGTCAAAGAGCGACACCAGCGACGCCCAAACGCGTACGACACCCGCACGAGCGATGGCCTCCAACCTACAAGCGATGGCTTCCAACCGAATTCCGATGGCCTCGAACCTAAGAGCGATGGCCCTCCCACAAATTTACTCATGCGACCATGTCATCATGTGTTGCTGTTGGTTGCTTGGTTGGTTTTAGACAGCTTGGCGCCATCCACATAAACAAATGCGTTACGTGCATTGGGAGTCGAACATGGCCAGCTTCAAAGGAAGTTGAAAAGAGGTGCAAAAGCCAAAGGATGGAGAACATCTTTTGGCCCAGAAGTCAAGCACATTACTTGTTCGGGTTTCATCAGCCCTAGATGAGACTAGATTCGATGCTGGGTTTGGCTGCCTTGGTGTTCTTCTCCACCACCTAGGCTGCTGGAGACTTTTCTAGCACGAGGAGTCCCAAAGAACACATCACTCGGAGCCAAAGACTCTGTTGCTTGGACCTTCTGCATACCCCTCAAACAGAAATCACCTGAAATTACCCTGGCTTGTGCGACTGCCTCAGGACCCTGAAGCTCCGCAAAAGAAAGCAACAGGGTTTGCCGGGACTTGATGCTCTTCAAAGGCTTCAACACCTTCCATCCACCCAGCAGCCTATCCTGGGGCTGTGGCTTCATTCCGCGTGGCGACCGACCGGGAGATGGCTGGCCCACCTCGAGTGATGCAATCAAAAGGAACTCGGCGTTTTCGACGGTCTTTCAACAAAAAGGATGTGTCTCTTGAGCAGTAACGATGCAACGATTCCTCACTCACTGTAACGATGAAAGAAAGCTCTCTGCCGTTAACTTTCGACACCAGGCCTTTGTGACTGAAGTGACGGACTGTGTGGCCGCCTCGTAACTGAAACTCTAGTAACAAGAAGCTACTAGGAACAAGTGCCTTACTAGTAGTAACAAGTGCCACGCTACTAGGAGCAAGGACGCTACTAGTAACAAGTGCATCGCTAGTAGTAACAAGTGCCTTACTAGTAGTAACAAGAAGCTATTAGAAACAAGTGCCACGCTACGAACGGAGCAAGTGCATCGCTAGTAGTAACAAATGCGTCTCAAGTTCTATCCACAAGAATGGAATGCACTGAAATGCAGTGACGCAAGACCTGCCCTGTCATGTGTGGCACAAGAACCGCCTGGGAGGTCAGCCGGTGGAAGCATGTATGGCCTGGCTCCAAGCTGAGAGTGATCCAATTATTCGACAAAAGGCTTCTGCTATCTGGGAGATTGCTATCCCAGCATGAGCTACAGTAAGATGCAACACATCAAGAAACCACAAGAAACGGACACCTAGAAACATGAAGGTGCATCTTGTGAGGCATTGAGAGTTGCTTCATCTTCACAATTACGGTCTGGAAGGCTTCACTTCCGTTGCTGTACAACAGCTAAAGGCCTTGCCTCTGAACATGCGTCGGGCACTCTACATCCATTGCATGCTCCAGGTGGACGATTAGCTTGGCAGCAAATGCTCTGCTCACACGGAAGAGCAAAGAGCATTAGTAAGCTTGATGCCATATTTATTCTGTACAAACTGATCTTGTGAGAGCTCAGATGTCCTGAATAAACTGGAGCACGTCCGCCGCAAAGCGAGCCGGCTCCTCCACCAGGCTGAAGTGACGCCCTTTGGCCATGGTGAGCTTAGCACCGGGAATTTGCGAGGCGATCCATGGCATGGCTCCCTTCAAGTGACTCTCTTCGGCTCCCACACAAAGCATAGGCACCCGGATGCGTGGTAAGACCTCTCGAAAGTCACCCGTGAGTGTGCTGAGCACCAAGGCGGCAGCAGCCTCGCGCGGCACTTGCAGCGCATCCATGACGGCTTTCTGTTTCCGCGATGCTGGATAATCCTGCAGGGTCCACCAACATCGTCTCAGGGCTAAATGGCCGGTGTGCGGCGTTTTGTTTCGCTGACGAACGGAAGACAAACAGTTCACCAAAACATGAAACCAAACAAAAACACAAACACACACACTTAGATTGCATGCTGTTGCGTGGGTGATTTGGTGCGGACATTGGGATCTTCGGCTCCAGTACCATCCAGTACCCACACCCGTCCTCTGAAAACATGTCCTCCAGAAAAGTCGCCCTGGGATCTTCGGCTTCATCGGCGATGGAAGACACCAGCTGCATCACAGCATCTCCAGTGGCACTGGCACCATAGCACGCCTTCTGCTCTTCGGACCAGCTGGGGCAAACGGTGCCTACTGCCATCTGGTCCACCAGCACCAGGCTGGACACATTACTCTGGCCAAAGAGGTCCAAATAGGTCCAAATCACTGCGCATCCTAGTTCAAAGCTAGGTTGAACCATCGAGAAACAGGAAAGCCTCTGGGCGGTTTGTAACCCCGATGAGTAAACCAATAATTACAGTTCAAACTTGAGCACAAAACTTTGACGCACTTGGACTGAGCAGCCCATGGAGTGGCCTGCCAAAATCACATCTTTCAGATCCAGGTCTTCCAACAGCTCCTGCAGGTCCTTCGCCAACCTTAGTCTATCATTCAGCCCGTGAACTGCTCGTGGCTTCTGCAATCCTTGACCTTCAACCACACATGTTTCTGCTTCCTGACCCTCCCTCGCCTGCTCAGTCGATATCCAAAGCCAGGTGCCTGAGATTTTCCATGCCCCCGGTGGTCCAGGGTGATGCACCGATAGCCTGCCGCTGCCAGCGGTGCGATGCACTCCACATAAAGGTCGGCAGGCTGGCACCAAGCAGGGAGAAAGACCAAGGGACGTCCAACACCCAAAGACCGGTAGCGCCTCAAGGGGTTCAATACCGGACATGTTCCAAGCTCTCAGTTCTGACCAAATAGAGTACGTATGTGACATATGGTGACATATGTCAATGTCTGTGGTCGTTGTTCATACAACATGGATCAACATGGTATATATGGATTCTCTGGTAGACGTTGCTCTGACATTCAATACTCGCAATGCAACAATCGATGCGTGACATTGACCAACACTCCCAAGCTCAAGATATGCTCCAAGACACAAGGAAACGTCGTCGCGCGTCACAAAAGAACCCGACATAGCTCTGCTGCACACTGAGCCCGGCGCGGGTGTTTTCCTGCACTTTTGAGCCCAAGCTCCAAATTGTGCAAGCTGCAAGCTGACCTCCCTGAGAGTGGAACCAAGTGCCCAGAAAAAGGTAGGAGTGGAACTGCGGAGCTGACTGGAAAACATACATTAAAGCATTGTCATAAGCATTCAAAGCGGCGAGGAGGGAGCTCGTAGCAGCTAGCCAGAGCATATGTTGTGCCGTCTTTTCGAATTCTGCGTTGTGCCCACCAAAAGCTGGAAACCATTGGAAACCCTTGGTCCCAAAGAACTGCTGAAGCCCTGCGACCCACAAGACATGTCACATTTTGAGTCCTTCGACCCAGAGAAACCGCGGGCGTCCGAGACCATCCCGAGACCCCGCCTGTGGGACCTCAAAGGACACAAGTGCAAAGCTCGTGCCGATTATGATTCAATTGATCCAAAGATTCTTGGCAAAGGATGGCACAGTTCTAATATCATAGATGCCTTTGTGAAAGCTCTGTGTTGCTGGCAGAAGGAGAACAATGGAGAACATGTTCATCAGAAAGATAAAAACCCAAGAGTTGCACTGGCCAGAACTTCGGCACCAAGTCCACTTGAACAAGTGCCGCAAATGCAGTCTCATGACAAAAATAACCATTGCACTCAAATGATGGCACCAGTGACCAGACCCAGGCGACCAAGGCCCCAGCACGCCAAGTGGCTTCACACCAAAGGCGACATCTCGGTCAGGAGGTCCTCACAGCTTTGGAAGGGCAAGCAATGGTGCTATGCCTTGCTATGTTTGCTAGGCCTTGCTAGGCTAATCCTTGTATGTGATGAAATTGTCCAAGTGTTCCAAGAAACGAAGCTGAAGGACTCATCAATCCGTGGTGTCTCCTGAATAGCAGCTTGGGCTGACAGGCTGAAAGTCCAATGCCATCCTGACAAACTTGTATCAAAGTGCAATTTATCATAACACAATGGGTGAACAGCATGCTGAATACGTTCTTCTGGTTCGGACAAAGACAAACAAAACCACCACGAATCCGTCAAGGTGGGGGCAAGTCTGACTCATTTATATATTGAATGACATGCAAAACTCCAATGACCATGCAGCAAGGAGCTCGTGACATAAAGCTGCTCAAAAACATTCTGTGTGATCTATTGATGCACACACCATTGTGTAAGGCCTCATTCACCATGCAACAGTGCACAAACCCCGCCTGGATACTGCGCAAGGTCCAAACACAGGATGTACCGCACAGGGCGACGAGGAAAACACGTCTTCGGAAAACTGCTACATACACATATATAGACTCCTGGGGATTTATTGAGGAAGTCTAAGTGGAGTTGAAATGATAGACATGAGGATAGTACCAGTAGGGATCGTGGTGCAGTTCGAGCGTTACGAGGTGCCTCCGAACCTTGCAATTTGCACAGCAAATTTGTATATATGTGCTTTGACTTTTGATCACTGTGATGTCAAAATTAGTGTGCCTATAGTCATAGCGGCTCAGCTGTGGACAGTGGATGTACTTACAGACTAGCTGGCTAGCTGACGGGTGGCTGAAAAATATGGCTCACAAGCGTGTGCCGGAGCAGTCGCTCGAATTAAAGCTTCCGAGCCAAAGTCACAGGAATGTCGACTGTCGGGCTTATGACATGCATGAGCAAGAAAAAACAGGTCAGTGAAACTGTTTTTTACTCGTGAAATTAAGAACTTTCTGATCTCAGTGGCCAATACCTGGCCGCCCTCAACATCGCAAGGGACCAACTGAACTTCAGTCATGCTGGTGGGTGAAGGCATGATCATATTTCCCTAAACTGGAAGTTGACTTGAGGCAGCTCTGATTCCACAAATAGAAGTCAACAGCAATGTTCAATAAACTCCAGAACATTTCAAAGGAGAAGGTAATTGTCTATCTATTTCGGGGTTGCAAGTCCTAGTTAGTTACTAGTCTCTATTGCCAGTTGGGCCATCTTATGGGCCAACATATTACAGTAAAGAAGCCAAACTCGGGTGACAAGCAGCTGCAAATTGAATGACATTGACCCAAGACCGGTCAATTTCTCGGCAACAATGTTCAGTCAGTGCAATAGGATAACCCAGCTTGTATCACCAAATCAATAAAGAACGTAACAAGTCTTCTTGACATAGTCAAAAGTTGCCACGATCCCAGTTCAACACGTGCCCAACGCACCTCGTTCTTGAGATCACCCCTTCTCTTCTCCGACAGGCCATGCTTCTTAAAGCTCTTGACAGCGCATTTCTCGCCATCTGCAAAAAAGAGAACACACTCGCAAAAGCAATCTTCAAAAGGATTGCAAAGGAGACTCTGCCTATGCCGACAACTTCATATACGTATATAACTATACTCCCGTGGACTCTGCATGCTCGACATTGAATGCTTCTGCCGATCTTTCCTTGACACAATCAGATTCTGATGGTCAAAGCCCCTCCCGTACCAGGAGCCTCGATCAGTCGCTAGTTGGACCGGGCCACTCATGCCAGAGCCCAACACCTTGGGTTGCTTGGCGTCGCTCATTGATTCGGTTTGCACTGCGTTTCTTTGGCTGTGGCACGGCGGCCATGGTCGTGTGAGTGTCAAGTCTATTACAGTAACCAACAAATTCTGTCAAGTCTATTTCCAGTCCCATGAGCCTTTGAAGCGAGCTGATAGTCGTCTTTCAGAAGCCTGGCCAGATATAGGCACGCACCGACACACGAGGGCTTATGAAACTTACCACCTTCGTTTCCTCCCAAGAAGGGCAAGGGAAGTCACCCGTGGCATCTGTGTTGCACAATCTCAGCAGCTTGATGGTGGGCCAGGGAATCATCAAATGACACAACATTCGAATGCCCACGAATCACAAACACCACAGCATATTGTAGTATTGTCTGTTTTAGGAACACATGTCACAGTTGAACTCAAGGTGGTGAATAAAAGCTGGAGTGGGTGCAAAGATGTGCAAAGCATGTTTCATTCAAAACAGCGCAACTGCTTCGACACGTGCATGCCCATCTCATGCATAAAGGCTTTAGGAGGTAGCGTGGGCAAATCTCTTTCCACCAGCCGGGTGACCCCAGATTGGCCACTGCCCGCGGATGAGCCCATCCTTTTGAGCGCTCGATCTGTGCCAAGCTAGACTCATTGGCAGCAGTACCACTGAACAACCCCCCTAGCAGCTAGCTCTTCAGCAGTCTTCGAAGGGGTCGACCATCCTGTCCACCATCGGAAACACAGCTTCTCTGGCCTGCTGGTACAGTAGCGCCCGGTCACTGGGATCTTTCCCTTCTTCACCATGACCTCCAATCGGATACAAGTGATCCAACAAGTGGGACGTTTTACACACCTGAAGCCAAACCAAAGGACCTTCGGCGATGCCTTGGATCCAAGCGCTCTTTTTAGCTTGGAGCAACTCCTTCATCCTTTGCCCAGGCCTACTGCAAGTAAGGAGTGTGTCTTTTCACACTATGTAGGCCAGGGTCTTTACTAGCGACGATCCCAGCATCCAAGACACCACCCACTCCAAACATCTCTAAACGGCCAGGCAAGCTGAAGAGAGAGTTACACCCACGACAACAATGTGAGCTCGGGGTCTTACTTGCTCTCTTGCTCTTGAAAGAAATGCAGCAGCAGCGTTATTGTTTTGTGGGGAACAATTTTTGCCGTCTCATGTGCTTCAAGGGGCAAGTGTCGTGAATCCTAGTTGTGAGTACTGATGTGTGGTGGCATAACATCAAAAAAATACAAAGTCCAGCGAAGCTATATACAATATACAAGAAAATGAAGATGCCATCCAGCTCTTCCCCCTGGCACCTTTACAGGTAGCCTTGATGCAGATTGCCCCCAGTCATAATGCCATTTTTGTGTATTACGCGTTGAACGAGCCTCTGCAGTATCGATCCATTTGGACTTCTCATCGACCAAAGTGGATCTGCGAGATGCATGAGCCGTTGACCCCGTTGACCCCCATGCATTGGGATGATACTGCGTACAAACTGCGAAAGATCTGCTTGCTTATTGATGCCTATTGGCTTGAATTAGGTGTTTTGAGTCAATGTCAAGTCTCCCCAAGCGAGGCCAGAATGCGATGTGGACCGATGTTCCAAAACACTCGTTCGGCTGCGCCGCGCTGCGCCTGGTACTGTCTTCACGGCTCAACGAGCCTCCCATAAACCTGACCGGAAAAGGCAATCTGTATATTTACCATCAACATCTGAGGCCGACACTCACCAACTGCATCATCGGATACAAGGCAAATGACAGGTGTCTTCAAGTTGCCCCGCCAACCACCAGGGTAAGCAGCTGCACTTGAGTCAATGGTGAGAACAGGTGATTCCATCAGGGTCAGGCAAAAAGCAACCGTTTATCCATGTACTCAGTTCCTCACGGTTTGTGTTCCCCCCCGCTTCTCCACTTCTCCAGTATATGGTAAGCCATTAGCCGAAACAGTACTCTGCATCATCCAATTATCCAGGTTGTTCTGGGCTTCAAACCAGCTCTTTGCACAAGATTACAGTGTGATAAGGCGACAAGCCAACACCCGCTAAGTTGGTATTGGTCAAACCCATTTTGCCGGTTGATGGATGTTGTGATGACGTGTATAGCGAAAAAACGCTGCTCGCGGGCTCGATCCATCCGCTCGCGGGACTACAACAACGCCAGTTCTACTTCTTTGGATGTGAAGCTTCACCGAACCCAACCAAATCCACTCAACCTTCTCAAACTAGAGATTCACTCCTTTCTTCTTTGCAAAACCATCTCAACTGACTCATGGCATGAACCATCACAGCCGAGCCGGCTCGACAATCACGCCTGCTGGTCAGGAGGCGGATGCCGGTGCCGCACACATCAAAACACTCCGTGGCAGCCATCCCGGACGGGCAACGGCGCTGGGTTCAGCGAGCCAGGGCAGCGGCGGAGCGGTGGTGGCGGCAACTCAAAGCACAGTGATTTTCAGTGCTTTGCTGGAATTGATTGCACCAGCAGGTACAGCTATGGTCAACTTTTTGACTGAAAGCCAGAACTTCCCAGGCTTGGTTTTGAATGAATAGTTCAGCAA